CTTGTTTTTCTTTTAATGTATTGAATTCAATGCTTTAATTTATTGTGGATTCTCCAGTATTTAAGGCACAGAGCTAATTTCTGAAAGTGAGCTGCACTTTAATGGACAGATGCTCCAAGCTATAAAAAGTTTTGACCTTGAGATATACTACTTATCATTTTAAAGACAGCAGGCTTCTCTTTAGAATATTTGTGCTGTTTAGCTGCTCCTCACTTGATGTGTTCCCAGTGTCCCACGGTGCAAAGCACAGCTCCGCATTTACTGCTGAGTGCGTTCTGACACTCCATGCTGAGGCTTCTGTCCTATTTGAATCCTCAAACGTGTGAAAAGTGAAAGCCTTGTCCATGTGACTGTTTTCATGGTGTTTTTCTCCTCTGTGATCTTTTCTAGAGTCGGTAAGCCACAGTCCGAATAAAGATTTTCTTTCACTTACTGTTTTCTTTGTTTCTGGTATGCAGTGAGTTTTGACTTCTAGTTGAAAGCTTTTTCTTTTCTTTTTCTTCTTGTTTGTTTTGTTTTGTTTTCATCCATTTGGTTTACCGGGCTTTGACTCTTTGACTTAGAAAGATTTCTAGTCTTTCTAGACTGCACTTCACAGATTCAGCTAAGGTTACTGACTAGAATCCTGGCTTCCTGTCAAGGCCTCCACTTCCTGTCCAGTCAATCTTGTCCTCTGGTGGAAATTCTTTAATATACAATGGCCGCCACGCCACCTTCCTCCTACTGGCTCTCTCTCAAGCATTCCACTGTTGACTTTCTCCATATCATGACTGATGTTGTAGAGAGCAGTAGGTCCTCTGTTACTGGGAACTTTTCATATTTACTGTAACAATGAGGTTTCTTTCCTTCCTGAATTCTGCAGTGTATCCAAGTCATGACTTTGACAAGAGATATCTATCTCACCTCCTGAAATTCCTCTACTTGGTTATTTTCTTCCTTTCTTCTTTTTTTTCTTTTTGTGCTCATTGGGTACTGGCAACTCCTTGAGAGTCTTAATGAGAATTTATAGCTTTGAATGACAAGATAACTGGTCAATCAAATGGAAATAAAGTTTTTATGTTTTTTTCTTCAAATTTGTAAATATTATAAGGGATTCTGCTAGAATAGATTGTTGTCTCCTCAGAAAAGACTATACCTGAAGGCTTTATTGTATCATCTGTCCTTGAGTTATTCCTCCTGGAATTATCAGGTCCAACAAAATCTGAGGTTTGTATTGGAAGCTTAGTCCATATTTATTATTAGTTCTTCTGTTCAGTCTGAGTTGCTCGCATCAGAGGAAGGCTGTGACTTGTGTGAGACCGACTTCACTCACCTCTTCATAACCTTCCTTCCCATGGAAGCTGCTGTGACTTGCAGGTAAGAGATTTATTACCTCTTATATCATATATATTATATTTTATATTATATAATATATTATATATATTATAATTATATATATTATATTATTATATATTATCTTATATTAATGATATGTTTGTACTTTTTCAACATCGTGAAAATTCTGTCACACTTATTCTGGTTTTAAGACATGCTGCTTCTTGCAAACTTACTCTAATTATCCATCACACGTATTACTTTTCAGTGTATTGAGTAAATTCTAGTTAACAAATATAACATTTCCCCATTTGACTTTAGTTTTCTGTTGCTTTAGGTATCAGTTTGCAGAATTTCTTCTAAAAATGTAATAAAATATTCAATTGTATGTAAATATTCTTCCATTATCTGATAGTGTGAAACGGCTTCAGAAATACCCTTAACTGCTCAGCATGGTGGCTCGTACCTGTGTTTCCAACATTTGGTAAGTAGAGTCAGGAGAATCAGGAATTTAAAGCCCAGCCTCAGCTACATAGTTAGTTCAACCTGGGCTACATGAGACCCTTATCTGAAGAAACAAAGAAAATCAATAGCAAAAGTGAAATACTCTATTTTTCTGAAAGCTTTTATTTCTAACTGCGAAAATTTCCCTAAATAGTTTTCATCTCTTTGGATTTGGAGGTGGGGCCTGCTCTGAGTGTTAGATGAACAGAAAAGAAATGCTGATATCTTTGGCAATGAAGTAACTTCATCCAGGGACTCTAACTCCCTCTCCTGGCTGTCACAGGCATCAGGCAAGTGCAAAATAACCCACATAAACATGCAAGGAAAAAAACCAAACACATAAACAGCAAACAAACAAAACAAGCTTAGGTACAGTCTACCACTTTCTAGATGGATGACCTGAGCCAAGGTAATGAATTTCTCACAGCTAACAAGACCACAGTCTCCTTGGAGGCATCAGATCACCTGGAGCTGGAGTTGCAGACAGTTTGTGAGCCATCTGATATGCTGGGAGCCTGACTCCAGTCCTTGGGAAGAACAGCAAGTGCTTGTTCCCTCTGAGCTAACCTTCAACCACCAAAAGGTCATTTGGAAAGCAGTCAGTGAATATGGAAGAAGGTGGCAGGTCAGACATGTAACCTATGATGGCCAGGGTCAGGAAACCTTAGATAAACAGGGGAAAGGAACCCGTATGTAAAATCAGGGCAGTTGAGGAAATCCTGGCAAAGAGAAAGACTAGAGAAATTTGAAACGGGAGTTTTCCCTCCACAGGACTCGTAGTTCCAGTGTCTGCTGGTGGGATTCCACAAATGTGAGGAAACTTTAGCCTCCCTTGAGCAGAATGCCCCAGGCACTTCTGAGGTGCATGCCCTCCGGGCAGCTCATTAGGATGAAGGAAAACTGATGATGGTTTGGAATGGCTAGAGGGTAATGGCTATCATGGTAAAACTCCTACGTAGGTATTACACCAGGATCATAGTTAGCTGAGGTGGGTACAACTGGGCGCTACAGTACCTTTGCCTCCAGAAAGAGACCTTGAGTCCTGAAAGCTGGATTTGGGTACAAACTCTAGAAGCGTGGATCCTGCTGATTTTGCAATTCTGACTTGCATTATGAATGAGGTCCAGGGGGGTGATAACAAGGAAAATGGTGGTAAGAGCTGGAAGTAAGTTAGAAGATCATCACATACATCAAATGAACCTTCCTTGAACACATGTAAGAAGCAAGTGGGCAGGCAGACCCAGGAGACTGACAAAGGGCAGCTGAAACATGAGAAGCGTAATGTAACTGATTCTTGACTACTTCTTGAATTACTGATGGCACCTGCTTTACACTGGGCCTCAGGGATGGGGGCGAGGAGAGACAGAGGGTTCTATTATTAAAGACAGCAACTTTCTTACATAAGAAAATCTAGAACAAAATACTTAGACTATTTTCTTCACTTTTTTGTTCCTTTGCTTCGCAATCTCAAGTTTCATAACTTTGTAATTATCTGAACAAATTATAAATTTGATAAACTGATATTTATACTTTTAAAGACATTTCATTTCGGTTCTGATAGTAATTCAAGCCAACAAAAAGGCACTACTATCCAGCTGAGGCAGACTGAAGAGTAAGGCGTGTTCACCATTCTTAAGATTCTCAAGACCCTCAGCATGATGAAACCTGGCCCCAGTAAATATAACCATGATGATAAAAGACTTCATTGTGATCATGTCTTCTATTCAGTAATTGACAACATCATCCCCACAGCATTATGAACTCCCTCCCTCTCACTTTTCTCCAGTGTGATGCCTCTGATGCTGAATGAGGTTTGCAGTCTGGGTGAAGGCTTTCCCACATTTGTTACATTCGTAAGGTTTCTCTCCCGTGTGAATCCTCTGGTGTTGAGTGAGGTGTGTGCTTCGGATAAAAGCTTTCCCACAGGTTTTACATTTGTACGGTTTTTCTCTCGTGTGAATTCTCTTATGTTGGGTAAGGGCTGACTGGTCACTGAAGGCTTTCTCACATGTGTTACACGTGTAAGGCTTTTCCCCGGTGTGAGTTCTCTGATGCTGTGCTAGGGCTGACTGGTCCCTGAAACCTTTCTCACACAAGCCACATCTGTAAGGTTTCTCTCCAGTGTGAATTTTCCGATGCCTTGCAAAGGATGAGTTCTCCCTGAATGCTTTGCCACATTCGATACATTGATACGGTTTCTCCCCAGTGTGGATTCTCTGGTGCTCAATAAGGGAAGAATTCACCCTGAAAGCCTTGCCACACTCTTTGCATTCAAAGGGTTTCTCTCCAGTATGGATTCTCTGATGCTGCAGAAAACTTGTACTCTGACTGAAGGCTTTCCCACACTCGTTACATTTATAGGGCTTCTCGCCACTGTGAATGTTCTGGTGTTTGGTAAGATGTGCTCTGCAAACAAAGGCTTTGTCACAAATGTTGCATTGGAAAGGTTTCTCTCCAGTATGTACTCTGCGATGGTGGGAAAGATGTATGTTCCGGATAAAGGCCTTTCCACAGACATTACATTCAAAGGGCTTTTCTCCGGTATGGATTTTCTGGTGGTAGGTAAGGGAAGAGCTCACTGAGAATGTCTTGCCACAGTCCTTACACTCGTATGGTTTCTCACCAGTGTGAACTCTTTGGTGATGGATGAGGTGTGTACTCTGGTGGAAGGTTTTCCCACATTCTCTGCATTCATACCGTTTTTCTTTCATTGGTGTTTTCTGACTTGGGTTGAATTTTTCAGTATGAAGTTTCTGATGCTTCTTAAGGGTGGAACTCTTAGAGAAGGCTTCTCCACATTTGCTGCATTCAAAAGATTTTTTGCTTGCTTGAGATCTCTGATGTTGGATGGGTGATGAGCTCGCTGTGCGGCTCTTGTCAGAACCCTTGACTTTCTGTTCACTGAGCTTTAACTGAGTGTCCTGTTGGGTGAGGACCACTTGCTGCGACTTGACCTCCTGACCTTCCTGGCATTGCCAATCTAACAAGTTAGCACATACCCAGTGAGTCTCTCTGGTGGCTCTGTCCTTCGTTATCCATTGATCTGATTCTGTTTTAGGGATATCTGCCTTGAGGAATTTCTTACTCACGGCCATTGTAATCCCTCCTGAAAGATATTTAAAACAGAAATGTCACTTTTACTCTGGTGAAATGGCTTGACGGAATGAAATGAACGGAGGGCGGTAGAGGCTGATGCTATGCACGAGGCAGAAGTGCCCAGTTTCAGAGCATCTGAGTTGGAATTCTGAGAACAGTTATTTTGTTTGTGACTGAATAGATTTTAACTGATTTTCAAAGCTCAAAAATATCCAATATAGACCATAAAAGCTGACTCATGCTTGTAATATCAACATCTGAGAGGCTGAGGCAGAAGGACCGCAATGAGTTTGAGGCTAACCTGAGTTAAAGAGTAAGTTTTGGGGGTTGGAGAGATGGCTTAGTGGTTAAGAGCATTGGCTGCTCTTCTACAAGACTGAGGTTCAATTCCCAGCACCCACACAATGGCTAACATCTGTATATTACTCCAGTTCCAAGGTGTTCAATGCCCTCTTCTGGCTTTGCATGCACCAAGTATACATGTAGTACATAGACATATACATAGGTAAACACACATATGCATGCACACACACATGAATAATAAAATTCTTTTCAAAAGAGATTCTGTCTCAAAAAATTCTCTAGAGAGATATCTCTAGATGTAGAGGGTCTGGGGTCGGGGGAAGGAGAGAAAAACCATGATCAAAATATGTTGTATGAAAAAATTTAATCAAAGAATGAAGTGGAAATTTTGGGGGCTTGTGTTGAGACTCAGTGTCGTCTGATGTTTTTCTAGTAATTGTCTTATGAGAAGATTGTTTTGCTGCGAACAGACATGTAGTGTTTTTCTGGAAGCTGCCTGGAAAAGGGGCATGTGATGTTTTGCTAGAGCAGATACTTGAGAGAACATGTGATGTTTGGAAAGGTTATAAACATAACTCAACGGACAGTGGACAAAGCTGCGTGGCATTGGTTTGCCTTGCCACTCTTTGCTGATCATCATTTGTCATGACTTAGTAGAGAAAAGTGCACCAAAGAACTTCTGGTGCTGTTCTGGTAGCTTCTTACCACTTCCGTGGACTCGGGCCGATTGACAGAGCCGCACCTTTTCTTCTGGATCGAACTGTCTTTGCTGATTTGTGAATGGTGTTTGCGAGTGGACTGAGCTGCTGCTGCTGACTCAAGTGAGCTAAACTGCTGATACCCTGACAATGCGGACTCCATTCAGCCCAAAGGACGATTTCTAAACAGGTCCACATCCTTCTTTGCCTTATTAATCTTTCCTTCCCACTACCTCTGATGGGTGATGGACTAAAAGAGAGGTTGTTGTGTTTTATTTTTTTTAAAAAATCAAAGATATGTTTTGTAGAGCATGGTATGGTGAGGTGGGAGGGGTGCCTCAGCAGGTACCAGCCGTAGGACAAGTATAGTGTAGGATAGAGTTTATTTAGGGCATGGGAAAGGGTGTTAAGAAGGAAATAGAGACAGAGAGAGAGAGAGAGAGAGAGAGAGAGAGAGAGAGAGAGAGAAAGAAAAAGGAGGAGAAGAGGAGGAGGAGGAAGAGAAGGAGGAGGAAGAGGGAGGATGGGAGGAAAGGGGAGGGGAGGGGAGGGGATAGGCAAGGCCAGCCAGGAACATATGGAGGGAAAGGGGAAGGAGAGAGAGGGAGAAAGGGGTCAGGGAGAGAAGAGAGTCAGAGAGTACGAAGAGGCCTAACAGCCTCTTTTATAGCAAGCCAGTCCTATCTGGCTCTTACCAGGTAACTGTTGGGTGGAGCCTAGAAAGAATGCCAACAGAAGTTAAGCATTTAAGTACAGTTATTAACGTAGGTTTTATAAAATATATGCCTATAAAGAAAGCACACAAAAATACAATAAAAAATACTTTAAAAATCTCTATGTAGACCATACTATGCTAACAAATAACTGGGAAAAGCAAACAGGTACATTTTAAGGCTTAAATCATGAGCTTGGGAGACATGCCCTTATTGTAAATGAACATGGTCAAAGCTAAAGTCCATCTAGGCACATCAGAGAAGAGTGACTGAAAGCCAAAGGACATATGGAAAGCGTCAATGCAGTTCCATTGCCAGTGAGGGTAGAAAAAAGTCTTGTTGAGGCAAACCACAGAACCCAGAAGACAATGACATAACATGCCAAGAGTTAAAAGAACCGAATTGCCAAACTCAAAAGAGGAAGTCAACCAAAAAGAGAAAACATCTCCAAAGAGTCAACAAGAAAGTAGATAACTGCTTACTAAATAAACAAATAAACAAAAGATCATGTCTATGTCCAAGAGAAACCACAAGTGTCCCTGACAGATGGAAGGAGCAAATGTGTGAAAATACAGAAATGTAAGGAATAAGTAGTTAGAAAAGTAAAATTTGGATACTAAATATAGATCGTGTATGTAATAATTACAACGCCTTGACATTTGTAGAGCTAAAATACACAGAAAAAAATATATGACAAGCAACACAAAAGGAGGGACAGGAAGCAGTTTAACACGGAAAGGCCCAAGCGCTGTCAGGGTGAAAGGCACATGAGCCCGCTCTCAGGAATCAAAGAAAACATGATACCGTTTTCTTTGTTTTGGGACAGCATCAAGTTCACTATGCAGCTGACAATGACCCTAACCTTTAAGTCCTCCCACCTTCATCTCCCAAGTGCTGGGATTATAGGTGTGCAGCAGAAAGCCAGGTTTATGCAGTGCCGGGATTAATCAGGGCTTGGAGCGTGTTAGGCAAGGACTCTACCCACTGAGCTACATTCCCCATCCTGTATGAGAACATTATTAGTTTGGATAATAAAAAGCTAGTTTCTAAATATCACACTTACCACTAAAAGTCTAAAGACTGTAAGTCAATGAGCTAACACAGGACGAACATGGAAAAATAAAAACAACCCAAGAGAAAGGTGGAAAGATAAAAAGGGATTTAAAGCAGGAGAGTGAACAGTAGGAAGAGGAGAACAGACATCAACCCCACACAGAGTGGGGCTAATCTAAATAAACACAGCTCAGCTACAGGCCATTAACAAAGAAACAGGAAAGTGCAGGCACTGAAATAGTAAAGATAAAAGAATAGAAAGAATTTAACATGTAAAAGAAAGACAGTGCTTGTGTTAGTATCAGACAAATTCCACAGCATTAGAGAAAATGGGCTTCTGTCGAAGGGGCAATTCTCTGTGTGTAATTGGAACATCTCCACCTATGTGGACACGTTGAACGAACATCCAAATGTTCAAAGTCAGAGAAAGAGAGAGAAAGTGATGCATTTCTGTATTACTGACACATCAAAGGAGAAATCACATCACCAATTATAAGTCTTCTGAACTGAAATGTGCTATAAATACAGGCATGAACAGGCACTCACAGGACAGCTAAAGCTTTCAAATATAGTAAACAAATAGATATTGACTATTAATCTGAAGAGATCAGAAAAAGAGGAAACTAAATCCAATGAAGAGGGAAATAATACAGAAAACAAGCTACAGAGAGGTTAAAAAGCAAGAATTTAAAAACTCGATATGCCTTTAGCAAGACAAGTGAAACATGAAAGACCATGTTACCTATGTCAGTTTTCAGTAGTGTTCACAGGAGGTTCCTACGTGGATATTCTCTGCATTTCTCTGGCTTAGAGTGTATAGTACCTCACATGTTAAAGCAGCATCAGGACAGATTGCTCAACGACTTGTAAAATAAAAACAAGACAGTATGGTAGTAACAGTGGCTAGACTTGTGTTTTCTTTTATAAGAATAGCTATGGTCGTGGTGTCTCTCCACAGGAATGAAACCCAACCTAAGAAACCTTATTAATTTTTAGTCCTACCAGAATGAGCTACTAGGAGGCAGGGCTTGGTTGGAGCCAACATGTCACTGGGAGAATGTCTTTGAAGGGTTCATCTTGTTCCTGACCCTTTCCTGTTATGTCTCTTAGCTTCCAGGCCATCATGAAGCTGGAGCTTTCCTCCCCTACCATCTATGATGTTTGTCTTGCTGCAGGGCCAAAAGTAACGGAGTCCGCTCACCATGTACTACAGACTCTGAAACTGAGGCAGAATAAGCCGTACTTCCTTTTGAATTACACCTCCCAGGGATCTTGCCACAGCAAGAAAATGTGACTCAGAAAAGAAACCCAGAAAATTTGGCAGAAAACAAAGCTAGTGGGCTAAAGAGATGGCTCAGCATCCAGGGATCTCAGTTTTGTTTCTAGTAGCCATGGTGGTGGTGGTGGTGGTGGTGGTGGTGGTGGTGGTGGTGGTGGTGTGGTAGCAGTAGGGGTTGTATGTGTTGGGGTGACTTACAACTTTTTGTTAACTCTAGCTACAGGGGAATTTGATGCCCTCTTTTGGTCTCTGGGAGCACTGCATACACACGCACAATCTGGACCCTTCCTCCCCTGATAATTAAAGTAAAACAAAGCCAGGCATAGTGGCACATAGCACTTTTGGAGGAAGAGACAGGGACAGGAGTTTGAGGCTAGCCACATCTACAGAGAAAGTTCCAGAACAGCCAGACTACACAGATAAATCCTGTCCTGAAAAAACTAACAACAACAACAACGATAACAATAAACATTTAATGCCAAGATAGAGGCTTTCTGGTATACTGGAAGGAGGACGTGGTGAGGAGGCACACTGGACTCCATTTCTTATTCTCATTTCATAAGCTAGGTGGTAGGACATGCATTCTGCATCTTTACCACTGTCACAACTCCTTAGGACTGAGTCCACAGCTTAGTGGAAGAGTGCTTACCCAGCATTCATGAGGCTCTGGGTTCAAGTTCCAGTACTGGAGAATAAAAGTAGGACTTTTGTCAGGCAAACAGGCACATAATTTTAGCACATAAAACTTCAAACAATTATGTTATTTTTATAGTCAGTGTACAGTATTCAAAATGAATGTATTTTAAGGCCAAAAGAAGAAACGATAGTGCTAAGTGAAAAAATAAAATTGCGACATCGAAGACCAATATATCAGCTCTAATAAATTCCCCAGTAAGTTTAAGAGAAAAAATGCACAAAGAGGGAGAATAAGAGGATATAATACACAATTAAAATGACAAATGGG